CCACCTGCCCACCCACCCTTCCATTCATTCATCCATCTGTCCATCTGTCCACCCATCCTTGTGTCCGTCCACCCTCCATCCTTCTTCCCTCCCTCCATCTTTGCAGCCCCAGTCCCTGCCGCCCCCTCCCACCCTCTCTGTCCCCACAGACCACCCTCTCCCCGTCCCTCCCCCTCCCTCCCAGGGTGGTGTCATGGGCGCCCACTCCCTGGTCCCCTTCCGGATGCCTTCTCCTCCCCAGGTCTCAGGAACGGAGCCCTCTCTGGCCACCTCTCTGCACCTCCCCTTTCCCAGCTGGACACTCCAGAGTGCGGTCCCCTCTGTGCTGTCTCTGATTGTCACCGAGACAGAGGTCCCAGAGGGCTCCTGTGCCGTGGGACCTAAAGGAGACACCCCCTTCTCCCCGGCAGTCAGGGCTGGTGGCGTCCCCTGTGTTGGAAGCGCTTGGTGGCTTCCCGCTGCCGTCCGCCTCCCACGAGCCTGTGCCCAGAGCGTGTGCCCTGGACCCTGAAGCCTTTCATGGCCGACCTTAGAGTCCGGGTCACTACGTCTTCTTTGTCCCTTCGATTCTTCCTGCACTTTTTGTAACCAAGTGCCTCCGGTCACTTTCCATTGCACAACTTGAGGCCCCAGGTGAGGCTCCCTCCTAATTGGGCAGCATCCGGTCACCCGCTGCTTTCTGTCCACTCTCTGCCCTCCCCGTGACACTCGCTGCCGAGGGATGTGACCTGGAAGGCCTTGGCCTCTGGTGTCCGGGATGTGACCTGGAAGGCCTTGGCCTCTGGTGTCCGGCTGGGCTTTGGCTGTTACAGCGTCCTGGGAGGAGACCAGAGGAGGGAGGGAGCTGTCTTAGTTTTCCATCGCTGTAACGAAATAACCGAGATGATCAGTGTATAAAGAGAAAAGGTCTACCTTGGCTCACACAGGGCTGGAGGTTTCCGGTCCTGCTTGGTTGGTGTTGCTGTCTTGGGCCTGTGATGAGACAGCCCCATCATCGTGGCAGGTAGAGCAGGGTACTTACTAAGTGAGCCTGAGAACGAAGGGAAGAAAAAGAGTCTGGGGTCCGAGAGTCCTCCCTTCACCTTTTCTTTTTTCTTTTTGTACCAGGGATTGAACCCAGGAGCAGCGACCCCTGAGCCCGGTCCCCAGCCCTGTTCTGTATTTTCTTTAGAGACAGGGTCTCGCTGAGTGGCCGAGGCTGGCCTCCAACTTGCGATCCTCCTGCCTCAGCCTCCCGAGCTGCTGGGATGACAGCCGTAGGCCTCAGCCTCCCTCCCGGGTGGTCCCCCTCACTTCCTGGGGTGACTTCTGGGGTGCCTGCAGAGACCACAGCTCCACCCTCCAGACACACTCCTGTCACATCTCCGGGGCCTCCGAGGGGTAATGGTTCGGGGCAGGGGACTGTCTCCAGACTCTGGTTCTGACCTTATGAAACCGTGTCTTGGGCCCTTGGCAGGGGAGACCACCCTAAGCCCCTCCCCCCCTCCCCCAGGGGACATGTACTCAGGAGTGGGTGTCGGTGACATCATGGGTCACCCGCGAGGAGGAATCCAAGCATCTATACGGGGCCCGCAGGGACGGAGCCAAGGAGAACCCCGGCTGCAATTCTCCAAGAAACCTGAGGTCACTGGACCTGCCCGCTCTGATGTCCCCAAAGGCCGTGGACTTAAGCAAGTTAATGTTTCCTCGGCAGGGTACACACAGCACCCAGTGACCGAGTTCCCAAAGGACAAGCTGAATCATGCTTATACAACAGAGGGGCCGCCTCCCTACCCACCCACTCACCCCGTCCATCCAGGAAGCCCTGACCCACAACCGAGGCCCGGGGTCAAGGACATGGCCCGACCCAGCGACTCAGGGGCCAACAGAAAACGAAGCGAGCAATGCTTGTGCATCCACACTCAGCAAGGACACGTGTGCTGCCACCTGAAGAGAGACTTGTAAGCCCACGCCTGTCATCCCAGCGGCTCCGGAGGCTGGGGCAGGAGGATCTCGAGTTGGAGGCCAGCCTCAGGAATGGCGAGGCCCTAAGCAACTCAGTGAGACCCTGTCTCTAAATAAAAAATAAAAAGGACTGGTGATCAGGCTCTGAGATTAAGCGCCCCTGGGTTGAATCCCCAGAACGGGGAGAGAGAGAGAGAGAGAGAGAGAGAAAGAGAGAGATCACCATGCCTTTCTGCAGCAGCCACCTGACACACCACAGTGGGACAGCCAGAGGATGACCTTTCTAGATGCTCCCGTTCAGAGGGGGCTGTGGATGGGACGAGGCAAGAGGCAGGCAGTGGTCGCTAGTGAATGACAATTCTGAAATCCTGCTGAGAAGGTGCCAGGAGTTCCTTGATTGGGACTCAGTCTGACTTGAACCTGAAGTTGATTTTCCACAACTCACAATTTGGACTCCTCTAAAATGAACCCCATGTTTTCGACTGTGGCGTTTCTCCGTCTACTCTCTGTAAGCAGATTTGGGGGAGCCCGGAGGTCTTTCCTGACCGTTTCAGCCCAAGCTGGCGGTTGTCTTGCCAATACGATTCTTTTAAAAACCTTGTGCGTCTTCTATGAATCTCATGACAACCTTCAAACCCACACGTCTTTGGGACAAGCCTTCCTTGCCCTCCGGGTTTCTGCTGGTGAAGACAAGCTTTGAAGCTTCTTTGAAAGCTCTGTCGTTGGACTGGATGCCCTTTGGCTCTTTTTGAGAACCCCCCCCCCCGCCAAAATGCTCTTTGTTCTCTTTTTGAGAACATTCTCGTCTTCGGCTTCCTCTTGCCACCCGCTTTTCCTGACACGTGTCTCTAGTGGGTCTTTGCCTGGAATCCACTGGTTAATTTTAGCATCATTCGACATCTGGAGAGGCCGGGAATTTTCAAAACCAGCAAGAAAGGTGTTCTGTTTTTCACTGTATTTTTCTTTTTTTCTTACTTGTTCTTTTATATTTTAGAATTAAGCTGCAAGAAGAAGCCTTTGGGCACCATTTTGGCTGTGGCTGTGGGGTGTCCCCAGAGCCCCCTTGGAGGTGATGCAGGAAGGTGAAGAGGAGGAGTGAGGGGTGTGAGGCCTGAACCCTGGCAGGGAATGGCTCCCTGGGGGTCCCCTGGTGGCCCCTGGTGGGGTGTGGGGAGGAGGTGGCCCTGGGGCCGTGGCTTGGGGTCTCTATTGGTCCCTGGAGAGTGGAATCCCTGCTCCCTGGTCCCCATGGGAGCTGCTTCCTCCCCACACTCTTCCTCCATGATGTCCTGCCTCCCCTCGGCCCAGGAGTGAAGCTGCCATCTGTGGACTGGGACCTGGGACACCCTGAGCCCCACGGCCACTGTCCCCATCTGCAGTTGCCTCTCTGATTTCCGGGCTGACTCTTGGGGTTGTGCAACCTCTAAGCTGCCGTTTCTGAGGTTCAATACACCCCACTTTCCCCCAGCAGGCTTCCGACATTCAGACCTTCAACCCACGAGTTTTTATTGAGCACCTCCTGCATACAAAACCCACACTCAGGGTGGCGGGGGGGGTCCGGAGGCTAAGTGGTCCTTGTTCTCTTGCTGCATTTGTGGAGAACTGGGAGTCCAGTGTCCCCAGAGGTGGGGGTAATATTGCCATCAGTAAAGGAGGAGGTCATGGGGGACAATTAGAAGCTCTCTGCAGCCCTATAGGGGAGGGACCTGGGGGACTGCGGTTAGGAAAGTTCTCCTGGAGATCTGACTTTTAGTGGGCACTTCCTGATGTCTGAGGAAGTCAATCAGCACAGGGAACATTCACGAGTCCCAGAGGGACAGCAGAGAGACCTGGAGATTGGAACCCAGAGAACAGGGAGCCGGTACCCTGAATGCAGCCTGGAGGACTCCACACGGACAGGTCACTTCTATCCTGCATGTCCATCCTGGTGCACGGGCAAAAACGTGCATGAAAGTCATTCAACAAACATTTGTTTAGCAACTACTATGTGCTATCTTGGGGACAGGAGGATGATACACCTGTTAAGTTGTCTGCCTTCCAAGAATCACAGTCTAGGGGGGAGAGAGAAACAGTGGAGCCGGGACCTGCCACCTCCGTGTCTCTGCATCAGATGTTTGTGATTTCTGCTGTTGTTTGGGTTGTTTTTGGGGGGGTTCCGGGGATGGAACCCAGGACAAGCTGGGAGTCTCCAAGGGTCCACGGTACAAGTTCTTGTCCTAAATCCCAGTGAATGCAGGGGACCAGGGAGTGGGCAGAGCGCCCAGCCAGGGTCACACAGTCCCTCCCCTCCCGCTCCCTCCCCCTCCCTTTCTGTCCTCTGCCCGCCCCGCGCCCCTCCTCTCTCAGCCCCGTGGTGTCTCCAGACTGGAGGGGGCGGGTCCCACCTCCTGCTGCCCAAAACCTGTCTGCGCCACCTCCAGTCTCAGGACCGGGGATCC